GCACTGGGTGCAGTCAGCACCCAGTGCACTGTGGAATCCTGACAGGAGGAAACCCTCTCATGGATTACATCTGGTCTCACACAAATGCCACCAAACACAGTGATTGTTACCTCTGCTTGCCATCTGGCACCAAACACAGGTGGCTTTACAGAGGTGTTTAAGAACAAGACAAAGCACCTAAAGCCCATGGCCTGGCTTGCAGCAATAGCTGGCTGTGGCATGGTCTGAGTGGGTCACTCCCAGTCCTCCCACAGCATGCAGATCACTGTGCTCCATGGCAGAGGCTTTCATTAGCCACATACAGGAAATCCCAAATCTGCCCACAGGGTGACTGGGTTGTATCTAATCTGCCAATCATACACACAAGTGCTTGAGTGGCACCATACTGGGCTATGAGGAGGGGTCCCACCAGCCATTAGCCCAGCAGGAAACCCCAGCACGCCCTTCCCTGCAGCATCCTTCACCCCTGCAGAACACAGGAAGTGGGCCAACCTCAGACTGGTGGTTTTCTGGGCAAAGATTTCTTAGGTGATGTACGGACTTTTCTTGCCAAGAAAGTTTTTGGCATTTCCTGCTCTGGCAGTGACTTCAATATTATCTAAAAAAATTAATTTCATACCTCTTGGAATTACTCTTGGCAAATTAAAAGCCAGTACTTAATACAGTTTAGCTCAAAGCCTGCTGCCCCAAGCAGCTGCAGACACAGGTAACCATGGTGGCTGTGGTGCAAAACAATCTAGAGGATTTGTGTGAGCAACTTTTCCATGAGGGATGAATGGATGTGGAAGTTGTAAGTTCAACAATGGCTATTGTATCCTCTTAATCTTCAGCCAGTGTGTTTCATTTCAGCAAATAAAACGTCTTCCTTATGAAACAAAAAAATCCAGTCCGCAGGGATTTGCTTTCAGCAGCCTGAGCTTTCTGCACCTTCCCCTCACTCAGATTTATCACCAGAAATGTATCTAAACCACAGCTTTGGCTCTGACAAGCTCAAAGCCTTTCCTTCATTCCTTGTTTGTTGAGGTAAGGATACAGTGCTTGACATCTGCAGCCGTGCTGGAATTCTGAACCTGGGCCTCATCCCTGCCACACTGTGTGTGCCACCACAGGGTCCGAGCCAGACCTCTTGTGTCTGCCCCTGGACCCTCCACTCCAGTAGCAGCAGATTTTGTTTATTTTCACTCATAACTTCAGGAAGCAGTTTCAAAGCTGGCACCCAAGATCAGCTCATGAACCCTCCTACTGCAAGCGAAGAACAGGTTTGGGACCACTTGATGAAATTGAGTGAATCCATGTCTATGGGATCTGATGGCAGGCATCCTGGGGTCCTGAGGGAACTGGCTGTAGTGTAGTTGCCAAGCCTCTCTCCATCCCTTTCATGTCATGGTGATCAAATGAAGTCACTGGTGACTGGAAAAAAAAGGGGAACATTGCTCCCATTTTTAAAAAGTGGAGAAAGGAAGATATGGGGAACTGGAGGCTGATGAGCCTCACCTTTGTGCCTGGCAAGATTGTGGAGCATCCTAGAGGATATGCTGGGGCATATAAAAGACAAGGGTTAAGGCTAGGTGAACTGAAGCAGCAAGCACAGCTTTACTAAGGGCAAATCATGACCAATCTGGTGGCCTCCTATGATGGAGTGATGGCGACAGTCAACCAGGGAAGATGGCATATGTGCTCTATCTACACTCTGTGAGGCCTTTGATATTATCCCAGATGGCATCTTTATTTTAATCAGACAGACAGGAACTTGACTGATTGACTAGTCAGTGGATAAGGAGATGGATGGATGGATGGATGGATGGATGGATGGATGGATGGATGGATGGATGGATGGATGGATGGATGGAGCCAGAGTGTTTTGGTCAATGACTCAATGTCTAGGTGGAGGCAAGTGACAAGTGGTGTCCCTCAGAGCTCTGTCTTGGGGCAAGTATTCTTCAGTATCTTTGTCAGTGAGCGCAGACTGTGAGAAGAAGCCATTGAGGGCCAGTCTGTGGAGAAGGACTTGAGAGTTGTGGATGAGAAGCTGGGCATGAGCCAGCAATGTGTGCCTGCAGCAGAGAAGGTGTATTGCATCCTGGGCTGTGTCAGCCCGTTACAGGATCAGGATGGTCACCCCACAAACAGGGACAGAGACAAGGCAGAGGTGTTTAATGCATTCTTTGCCTCTGCCTTCAACATCGATGGTGGGCCAAGGGATATCAGTGCCCTGGGCTGGAGGATCATGACTGCAAGAATGATAACTCCCAGCTGACCCTTGTCCCAGTCTCCTTGTGAGGAGAAGAGGAGGGGCAGGCACTGATCCCTGCTCTTTTGTGCCCAGTAACAGGACCCAAGGGAATTGCCTGAAGTTGTGTCAGGGGAGGTTTAGGCTGGATATCAGAAAAAGGTTCTTTACCCAGGGGGTGGTTGGGCACTGGAACAGCTGCCCAGGGAAGTGGTCGCAGAATCAGCCTGACAGAATTCAAGAAGCATCTGGGCACATGATGTGACTCCTGGGAATGGTGCTGTGCAGGGCCAGGAGTTGGACTTGATGATCCCTGAGGGTCCCTTCTAACTCAGCTTATTTTGTGTTTCTGTGAAAAGAGGGATGGCCAGCAGGTTGAGGGAGGTGATTTTCCACCTATTGTCTGCTGTCAAGAGACTGTTCTGGAGTGCTACATCCAGACCTGGGGTCCTCAGCACAAGAAAGATGTGGATCTGTTGGAGTGGGTCCAGAGGAGAGCCACAGGGATGCTCAGAGGGCTGGAGCACGTCTCCTATGAAGACCGGCTTAGAAAGCTGGGGTTGTTCAGACTGGAAAAGAGAAGACTCTGGGGAGACTTTTCTGTGGCTTTCCAGTAACTAAAGGGGCTTATAAAAAGGAAGGAGAGGGACTTTTTATATGGGCAGATTGATGCAGAACAAGGAACAATTGTTTTAAAATGGGAGAGGGCAGGTTTACGTCAGATGTTAGGGAGTAATTCTTTACTTGTAAATCTTACTTGTGCAAGGGATAAGACACTGGTACAGGTTGCCCAGAGAAGCTGTGGATGCCTCATCCCTGGAAGTGTTCAAGTCTGGGTTGGATGGGGCCCTGAGCAAATGGGCTAGTGGAAGATGTCCCTCTCCATGGCAGGGGGGTTGCAGCTAGGTTATCTTTAAGGTCCCTTTCAACCCAAACCATTCTGTAATTCTGTGATTTTATGATGAGGAGTGCTGAGACTCATGTCCACAACTGAATGTTGTTCACAGGCTTTTAGAAAGTTGTTGGCCATATGGAATCTCAGGAACTGCAAGCATTCTTTTTCTGGAAAGCTATAGGTTTGTATTCTCCATTGCTCTCCCTCCTCCTTTCCCTTTGCTGCCCATTATGAATCCAGCACACCTTTGTGCAACAGCAGCCTTCATAAAAGAAATCAAAATGTGTGGCAGAACATTTAAATATAGCTGCATATATTTAATTTTGTTATCCTCTCACCACACTTCAGTCAGATTGAGGGAAACTTGGCATTAGACAAACACCTTGATTTCAAATGTTATTTGAAGGATGATTATTTTGAGCTATAAGGAATTTTATTAACTTGTGCCACTCCTATGAAAGCATTATAATTCAGTGCACATCACTCAGCTAAGAAAATATTACTGCATCTCTATGGCAACCAGCAATGAACAACATATTGACCATCCCCAAAGACATAGGGAATTGCATTATTCCTGTACCATAATAGTATCTACTTAGAGTATGCCTTGTGCTTATACATATTTAGGATTAAAAAAATAAAACTAAGAATTGTGAATAATTAAATTTCCAGCAAAAGTTTTGATGCGATAAGCATTAATTTTACTTCGTGTAGGTCCTGCTTTGCAGAGAAGTGTAACTTCATTCATGCTGCCAACATTTACCTACACAATTCCCAAGGAAAATAAAGTCAATGTCGGTATGTGCAATATTGATGAAAGCATGAAAATAAGGCCAGCTGCTTTTCTGCCCCTTTCATGTCTGACCATTTACACTGTTCATGTCTCCTCAGCTGTTACAACACTGTGCCATCACATCAGAGGTTCCTTTATTCCTCTGAGCTTAGCTCAATGAAAGGGAGAAAGTACGCATTTCAAAAAATGAGATGAGTCTGGTACAAGCTAGAAAAAAAACACTGAAAAACACTGAAAAAACACTCTAAAGGAAAAAGGTTGCAGAGCCTGAGTGGGGCACAAAGATGAGTTGTGGGGAAATGTGGCTGCTCCGCTGGACAAGAACAGCATACAGAAAGAAGAGCAGGCAGAGAGCAACACTCTGGGAAAGGCAGACCCTGATAACACAGCAGTGGAAATCCATCTCCAAAGTGCTTTAAACGCTGTGCAGAAGGTTCACAGCAGGCTTGCAGTGGAGAGGTGCTCACTGATTCACTCACTATAATGTCGTTCAGCAATATTTGGACTCTTTGACCAGACACAATGACACTGTACTCACTCTGTATGGTTGTAAAATTGTAGCCTTGTTAAAGGCAGCACAGTTTTCTCCAGCTCCTTGCACAGGCACCTCAATAAAGCTTCAAGCTTTAGGGCATAAGTCCCGGCCAAGTAATGAAAGCTAGAAAGACTCTTTCTTGCTGAACAGATTATTTCATGGTTTTTGTAATTTCTCAGAAGTGCATAAACCTAGGAGAGATGGTGCTGGAATAGAAAGACTGCAATATGTGTGTATAGGATGTTCCCTCCCCCTTCCTATCGTTTCTACATAGGAAAATTCAGTGGTTCTGGCCACATTTAAAATGTTATACTGCAGAATGCTCCCCAGCAACATTAAGAGGCAAAGAACAGCAAATGGCACTTTAAAAAAACAAAAAACAAAAAACAAAAAAACCCATTTGGCAATGTTGAGAAGTAGTAAACTGCAGTAAAATTATGTGCCTTCAGATCCATATCCATGATACAGTGTGGCGGCAGCAGCAGGCAGGGCCACGGGCAGCTCAGCCCTGCCCGCACCAGCACTGCCAGACTGCTGAGGAGAAAAGCTCTGCATTAAAATGCAGGAAAACTTCTGCTCTCGATCAGTTTGATTTGATAGTTGATTTAACTTCTTTGTGCTCACACAGCTCTCAGTGGCTGAGTTTTGTATTCCATGCTCTCAGAGAGCAGATGACCTACTTTTCTTGTATTATTATTCCTGGTTTCAGCAGCCCGACTCCCCGGGAGCGGAGGAGGAGTGCTGGTGGTGTGTTTGTGGAGGATACACAGCCAGGACTTGGTTGGTGAGTGATTTGGAGAGAAAAGGGGTAAAGCTTTTAGTATGACTTCATTGGAGGTGAAAATTTATGCAGCCTGCTACACCACACCCTGCAATGGGGAAGTCTGTTTACAGAGGGAATTGAAACAAAAATGAGCAAGATGTAAAGTAATGAAACTTCCCTGCAGAGATGGGGTGGAGGAAAATGTGTGAAGGGTGGGAGGAGTGGAGTGAGGGGTGGCAAGTGGGCAGGGTGGTTTGACCATGGGTGTCCAGGAGGAAGATGCCCAGGTTGAGCCAGAGCTCCCAGAGCCCATTCCAGAGCCCTGGTTGTTTACAGGGAGTGAGGTGTGCAGAGAGAGGCTGGTTTTGGAGAAAAGACATAAGGAAGGATGATGGCAAATGTGTTACATGAAAGGGGGAAAGACTAGGATAAGAAAGAAAGTGACAAAATGCCTGAAAATTAAATTATTACCAGTGTAGGTAGGTAAGTAGTTCAAATTCACCTCCTAAGCAAATGAGCAACCTTGCTGATTTTGGGTGAACATGACTCTTAACAAGATCTGTGCTTGAGGTCTGTTGTAGAGGAAAACTTCTAGCGTGACAGCAAGGCTTCATTCCACCCAAATGAAAGATGCAGCCAAATTTGCCTTGTAGGATCGAAAAACCCAAACCAAGGAACTGCCTCCAAAACACAGATCACACACAGGCAGGTGAGAAATCTCTTAGGTAAAGGCAGGATTTTTGAAGAGAGCAGCATCAGGAGTTCAAGAAAGTGAAGGAGAAGACTTGGGAGCATATCTCAGACAGAAAACTAAAGCATCTTTAGGATGAAGAGCTGTCTGGGACAGCAGTAGGACCTGGGACCAGGTGCAATAAAACTGACCTCTGTTTCAGCCTCTGTTCCTACTTCATTTGGGAAAAAAACAAATCATGTGCATATTCTCTAAGCATAATCAAATGCTTAAATCCATCATTTTAGTTGCCTAATGGAGCAGAGCCCAAATAAAAGCCAACTTTAATGGCCACAGCAAAAAAAACCCAGTTAGTGCATCTGAGCAGCCTTTCCCACAGCCCTTTGGGCAATGTAGTGAAAGGCTCCTGCTGCTGCTGTAACTGAAGCAAGGTGCCTGCAACCAGCCCCGGAGTCAGCCAGGTATAAAAGTCAGGTGTTTGCCCTGGATCAGGAAAAGCTCATGACCTGCAGGAAGCTGTGTATTTCCTGATGGCCATCAGTTCCCTTCCTGCATTTTCAATATTCGCACTTTGAAATGCATTGGCATTCCTGAGATTTTATGGAAATAATTCAATTTAATACAGCATCCAAAGGTAAAGAACAATTCTCTGTAAAAGTGTAGTTTGACACTCCAGCTTACCTTTTCCAGTACAGCTAGAGAAAATGTCTGAAAAATTATATAAGCAATTGTAATTGAAAGATCCTTAGTCTAATACTTTCTTCCAGTGCTGGTCTCTTTAGGCATGGGCAGGTCAATAGGCCCTGACAGAAGACAGAATACTTATATATGTATTCTCTCACACATTTTATGTACAATTTCTTGAGCTGCATGAGAGTTGATTACAGCTATTAGAAAAACACAAAATAATGATGCACATAGCAATGGCAAAACCTTGTCTTAATGTTTTCCTTCTCTTTGAAATGGCTTTTCTAGGCCTCAAAGTAAGCAATCAAATTACATGATTGCTGGAGAGCAGGGAGAGAAAGAATGCTTGGAGCAAGACAAAAGGTAAATAGCATTTGTTTCCATGTTATCCACTGAGCAGGTGGAAAACCCAAAATATCCACTGAAGCGAAAAGGCAAGAGATGTGTTGTGTCTCTATTTTATCACTTAAATATTTTCATGCTAATGAACCCCATATGACAAGCAGTGCAGATAATTAATGAGTGAATTGATTGCTTATGACCCTTCAACACCAGGGAGGCATCAGCACTGCTTTTGGAAAGCTCACCATAAGTTGCAATCTCCAGAGACCAATAAACACTTTGGCAAAATTTAAGATAAGAAGACAGTTCACATAATTAAGAGGCAGAGAAAATGTCACCAGCTTCTCACCTACCCAGAAACTTGTCATGAACAGGCAATTTTGCATCTTGATTTACTGAAGACATGTCCAAAAATGTATTAAGGAATTCTGTATTTCTGCCCCCCACAGTAAAACTACTTCTTAAGAAACCAGAGGACAGCATCTTTAGCTAACCACAACTGCAGAACAGCCATTGATTTAGGTTCTGCACAGGAGCAACTGTGGCTGCTTGCTGTTTATCTTCCTGTGTGGAACTGATGTCTGTTGCCCTGAGCTACAGAAAAAGGCCAATGAGAATTAATTTGACATCAAAAGAAGAAGAACCAAGCCATATAAGCCTTCATCAAAGGAGTAAAGCAGACATGTAATTGGGAGCTCAGAGTGAGTTAGGTTTCTGCTCACTCACCACAACGCTGCAGAGGATGGATCTGCTCATGTACCCAGCCCTGGAGCGACCAGCACAGGGGGCTCCTACCTGCCCCCCTCTTATTTCCTTACTTCCCCCATACAAAAGCAATACAGCCCTTGCAGTGACTATACTGCTATTCATGGCTCGATTTCCTTGAGTTTCCTTATCAGTGGGAATAATTAGTGTGAACACTAAAAGCCCCTCAGTGGGAATAAAGGGTCAGCCCCACATCCCCCAGCACAGAGCAGGAGCTCATTATCTTGCATGAATTCTTCATAAATTGTAGAAGCGTATTCAGCATATGGCCTTGTTCTGCTTTTCTCCCCAAACAGAGAGCAAAAAACATATATTTTTGTTGATAATCTTCTCATATAAATTTGATTGGAAGTAAGAACATTTTTTTAATGGACTGTGTATTCTGCATCTGTGTTTCCTGTGTTAAAGAGAAAATTCAATCATTTCAGTGCAATTGTTTTATTTACACCAGTTTAACCAGAAAATAAATGGCTACAGTAATCTTCTTCTGAGTAAGAAATTATGCAGTTCACACCAGGAGGGTAATCAGCAATGAAAAAAGTTGTATTTTCCTGACAAAGCTGGGAATTCACGAATGCTTCCATGATGGGCAAGAAACTAAACATTGAAATTACCTCAAGTCACTTCACATGACAAAATAGCAGTATTTTATTTCGTCTTTTCACTTCAAACAAATGATTAACTTGCATTCAAAATCCTGGCTTCAAAAACAGAAGAGTCTTTACTCCAATTAAGCCTGGCACTGAGAGATCTCAGGGATACACTTTTGTTCTCTTGTAGGATTTGAAGTAGAAAAATTACTGAAGGAGCTCAATGAGAGGGAATCTGAATGTCAGTTGTGACTTGTCATTTAATGAATTTGCTAAAAGAAGGATTTGATTAGACAGCACATAATAACAATTTGTCTAATTAACAGGCTCAGGAGGAAGGAGGCGTGGCCAGAGCAGGTCTGAGGTGTCCAATCCCCATAGCTGTGGTGACTTGTTCTCAACCCAACCCCTCTTTTCCGTACTGCCCGTGGAGCATGTACCCTACAACTCCCTCACTTTCCAAATTACCTTCCGAAACAGCCACTCACTAGATGTTGATGCCTAATGCTACAAACCCTTCCTGTGACTTCAGAATGGCAGCCAAGCATTTCCTGGGATGCACCAAAGGGACTCCAGGCTGGGCAGGAAGGAGAATTCCAGAACCAGAGCTCTGGGGATAGCTCCATGATCATATTTGACTTAATATAGAGGTATGAGAAGTATTCTCTTCTGGGTATTTTCATTTTTTCTAGAAATTATGTCATCTGCCTAGGAAGGACCTGTGCAGTAAGGCAGAGATTAACTAAAATAACCCACTCAGACATGTCTAATAATGTGTCCACCCAATAAGAGACTCCTTTTGTTGAAGGCCAGGATGTTGTCCTGCAAGAAGGAAGGAGGTCAGAAACCTGCAGCTGCCCATGGGAATGGTGGAAACAGCAAAAAAGGGGCACTGTCACCTCCTGTGGCACCTGTGTTGAACATCCTGCACTGCAAGAGGACAATTTCTCAAAAGCAGCAACTGTCCAGTTGCCACTGCTGAGGGTCCAGCATGAGGTGAGCATTGTCCCACAGATGGGGAGATGCAATGGCCAGGCCAGCACAGAGGCACATCACAGTGCGGGTATGTACGTGGTCCCTGAGCCCCAGCCTTTTCCAGGGCCTTTCCCAAGGAAGACTGATTGCTTTACTTTGCTTTCAGCTCAGATAACAGCTTCTAACAAGAAGCCAGAGAAATCAATGTAAGCTGCTCAGTGGTACCTCTGGAGTAGCTGTAAAACCAATTCAGCAATATTATAACCTTGAAAATCCACCTTATCTGAAGTGGGATGGGTTATAGCCAACACTTTAATGACTTCAGACATTTCCTTAGTACAGCAGAGAGCAGTACTGCAGAACAGAGCTGGCTCAGGGGTGTATGTACTGCCAGTGCCTCACAGCTATAAAAAGGTTTCCATCTGCTTTGTTAAAATAAGGTTGTTTACTCAAAATGCCTTTGAAACAGAGATGAGGAGTAGTACAAATTGCTCTAGAAAGGAGTACTGCTATTTATGATAAATCTGGATGGAAATAAAGGTGGTGACAAATGCTAGTGATTACACTTGAACCATGTGGACAGGTAGAAATGCAATGGTTTTGATGTCCCTGCAAAGAGCAGATTTTGGGCAAGAATTTGTTTTGCATCCACAGACCTTATAATAGCTTTGTGGGTTTTTTTTTTTTATTATTAGTTTTCAATGGTAGGATATCAAAATCATGGCCCAGAGAAGATCTGGAAGGAAGGTAAAGAGTTGCTGTGCAAAGTAAGGCTGTATGGACACTTTTTGTGTCAGGGCAACCTAAAAAGGGGGTGCTGAGAGGTCCCACCAGCACAGATTTTTTTAAAGATGAAAAATATCCCAAATCAGAGAAGCTTTGCAAGGCTTGAGACCTGTCCCCTGGACTAGGCCTGGCTAAAGGGCTTGGTTAGGTCAACAGGTAGAAGGCCACTAATATAGTCCAGGCAGTGAAAACACCCAGTATCAAAGCCAAGGAGCTCCTGTGTGCAGCTGTGCAGAAACCCTGCTCCCCACTGCCTGGGACTGAGCATGAAAACAAGGTGCTAATAGCTAAAGACTGGGCTATGCACCCCCTGAGCCTCTCAAAAGCACCTCCCTACCATGACCCCATCAGCATGAGATGTGTAGGAGCTTACAGGGCTTTCATATCCATACATCCAGATATCAAAATGTGTTTTAAAAACTGAACCACTGCCAGACTTCAATTAATATCCTTATTAGTGAAATGGCACAGGAATGACTGCTGATGAAATTGCAGTGGCCCTGCACAGCTCTCCCACAGGAGGTGCCACTGCATTCTGTATTATAAGGTGCAAGACCCACAAATATACAAAACCAGCATCCTGCCCTTGGGAGCACTTAAAAAAAGGCTTTAAAGAAGAATACAGGAAAGTATTTGAAATAAAAACTAAAAAAAAATATTCTGAAGTGTCCTTGCTGTTTTACTCCTACATTTGCCATGCTGCATATCCAACTTGTTTCATGCTTAAGCAAAATAAATTAATCAGTAGGGCTGCAAAGAAAACATTTCTAATTGAAAGATAAATAGACTCCAGAGAAACCTCCTCCAGGAAAGAACTGACAAAATAGGAAATAGCAACATAGGAGTAACACAACACTTGCTGAATAAAAATAACAGAAACTTCAACAGTGTTGTAATAAAAACAAACACATCCAAACATTACATGAATGACACAACCATTCAGAAGTCATCATTTTTTCATCTATTTAGGAAGAACTAAGATGTAAGCATGCAATGCCTGTTTCCAGGGAAGCAAACTTGATTCGAACCTAGTTTTAGCAGATGAACATGATACATACCAAATTTTAGATCTGCATCAGATTAATAAAGGAAAAACAGTTAGTGGCAATTACAAAAAGTTAAGGATTTATTGCAAGGTTGTTTCTTTCACATTCTCTCTTTCCTGTTCTCCTCCAAATAGGAAACATACCACTTAACTTCATTTTTTCCAGACACCGATACTCTCATTCTTAAGCTTCAAATCCTGTCAGCGGTTTTTGTACATACCTTGTTAGTTAACAGATCAATTCACACAGATGAAAGATACTGTTCAAAATTTTGCTGACTTAGAATTATTCCTGCACGTTGCTGATGAATCACAAGAGGACTTGTAATTCCCCACAAGGCTCCCAGCAGCACACCCATGGGCAAGGATCCCATAATCAGGACAGTAATCAGAGAAGGTCACCACCTCATCAAAAAATATATTTTTAAACTGTATCTTAAGGAACATATGACAAACATCCAACACATGGCATTTTTCACCAGTCAGCCAAAGACATGAGCTAGAATAGGGTTCTCTGCCAATTTTTGAGTTTCCAGCACCTGCTACGGAAACAGAAAGATTGTTCATAAAACATCTGTGAGAGAAAACTCAGCTTGAAGTCAGAGAAATCTTCTTTCCTTACCAGTATTTCTGCAGCTATGGATTTGGGATGTACTCACACTTCAGAAAGAGCATCCACCCTTGCAATAGGAGGAAATGTACAAATAAAATAAAAAAATAACTAAAAATGAGTTTGGATGAGGAAATGAGAGTGACCCATTGGACTAATGACTAATCACAGCATCTATAGCTTAGAAAGGCTGACAGATGGAAAACCAGAGTACTCAGCAGTGTTTGCCAGTGGGCATTGTTTAAAAGTAATACAGAATGTGCTTACTCTTCCTTCTTGTCAGCCGCAGAGTGTTACAAAATATGAGTATTTATTGCTGCAGAAGGACACTCAATTAAGCAGATAGAGAGTTAAAATTTTGTGACATTAATGATAACCATGTAAACATATGCAGTGCAGTATCCTTCATTTCTCATCCTCTACACAGAGAGACGTGTATATCCACACACACATTTACCTACAGAGGAAAGGCAAGAGATGCTATCACATACTGTATGGTAGAACATGCAAATATATAGGCATCATTAGTGTGTAAATACATTAATTACTTGCAATTTAGAAAGGTAAACTGTATGACTGAAAGGGCCCAACTTAGCAAGTCTGTTACCTTGCATCGCAGCTTCTATCTTGTAAAAATCCTTGTTTCATTGTTAATGGTTTGGGCAGTTTGCTCTAATACTCATCAACATGCCTCTAACATCTATTTTATTTACAACAGCTCATACACAGATGGTCTTGGGCCAGCCTTGTCCTTTCCCACATAATTGTTGTTCACTGTAATCTCTGTTCTATTTATGGACAGCATCAGTGTCCCTGTCACTTTCTGGTTTCAGTGCAACTGAGCATTCGACTTGATTCCCTATATTGGTAAGTGTGTGTGTGGATATATGCACCTGTCTGAGGACATGAATCCAAAATTATTGTTTATTTGCTTGGTTTTCTTGTTCCTGAGGTGGAAAACCATTTTCTCTGCAGACAGTTCAGAACTAAGAGTGAGCTTTATCACTGTCACCAAGCAGTGCCTGGACTCTCGTTCTGCTCTGCAGGCTGGGATCTCTGGCCAGATTGCATCCCCCACACACCTGAGTGGAACCATGCAGATGTCAAAGGATACTTCTCTCCAGCAGAAATGGCATATATTTTTCATAATTATAATAAAATCCTGACTAAACAGATCTTCCAGATAACTTAACAGAGAAAAATACAATCTTAAACTCTGTTAGCAGCATTCCCTAGTAGCCATATGGCAGAGCTACCTGTGCATTGGGGAAGCAGACAGCAAAGAGTTTTGGCTACAGTTATGTCAAAACATTCACTTCTTAGACTAAAATGATCTCCTCCTGCCTGTTCATACATCAGTTAACTAACAAATAACCTCTTTGTCTTCTTCTCTTTGTCATATGGTGATGGTTCTGTTAGCTTCTTTCATCTCTTTGTCTATAAGCTAAATAAAAAGAAATAAGTCGTGACAGACAGGAAGTTCTGCTTTGAGAAAATAATTACTTGAACTTGACTTTGTGGGGAAAAAAACTTAGTTAAAGAGGAGATGCTGTGAGGAAACTTGATAGGGTTCTACCAAAAATTGGTGCTTCTGAAAATTACTGAAAACAACATAAAATTAGATTCTCAGGT